AAATGAGTCCCTTCTGGAAGGATTCTCAACCCAAAGCAGTGGTTCTAAATGCTGACAGCTCCCAGCACACAGGGCCTCTGGCTCTGGTTTCACATTTTCCCTTGCTGAGACTCAGGATATCACTAGGCTATTTGATCTCTAATTTGAGAGTGTCAGAAAGGAAGCATTGCAGAACTCAAAGTCAAGATCCAAAGTTTAGTTTTAGTTTTAGTTTTTTTTTTTTAAGGGGCAATGTGAAGTCATAGGTTAAAAATAATTACATATTGGTGTATGTCAAATTCCAAGAAGACAGATTCAAACTTTATATATTGACATAAGACATTTCCCGATATCTTTCCCATTTTCTTTCTGGCTTCCCTATGCCTCTTAGCATGCTATGGTATCAGAAGCAGTTCAGTCCTGCCATTTAATGTCTTTGACTATTGCCTTTAACACCATCAACACAATGATTCCGTTCCATGAATAAAAAGTACCTGGTAAGATTATTTTGATAGATGCATGCATCTGTATTATCACCAGAACTATACTCAGTGAGTCTGGCTTTGCAGATGAAAACTACACTGGAGGGACAAGAAAATGTCTTCTAGACTGTCCTAAGCCACCACAGTTGCACCCCCACTGCCTCAGACAACGTGAAGGAAAAGATCAGACATCTTTCACTCTTGAGACAATTGCTGTCTTCATTTCAGAAGCAAGACAAAGTCAGGCTGTGAGTGCTGGGGATCCAAGCCCAAGTCTGTTCAACTACAAAACCTCTAACCTTCACAGTCATCCCAACATTCTGGTTCTCTTCACCTTCTCATCCTCCTGCCGCATTATTTTATAAGGACCTTTATCTTCAACATGAGGTACTTAGCAAATCCTTCAACTAAATGATAAATTATGAAGGCTGAGCATGTTCTCTCATTCAAGGTATTTAGAACTTTCAAAGGAAAAAGGAGACAGAAACCTGCCCAAGTATGCAAGGAAAACACTTATAGACTATCAGCTCCCCTGAAGTTCTGCAATGGCAATTACACGCCATCTCATTACAGCCTCACATCACAGTAAGTCTACGGTTTGGATCCTAACTTTTTGCCATGGCTCCCTTTGACAATCTGAAGCAACCTACATAACTCCTCTTAAAATAAGGCTTTTAACTGCATAAAATATAATATGTAGAATTGCAAAGGAAACTAATTACCAATTTTAAAATACCATTATCAAAATAATTTAAAAAGGCCAGGAATAGTGGCTCACGCCTGTAATCCCAGCATTTTGAGAGGCCGAGGCAGGCGGATCACGAGTTCAAGAGCTCGAGACCATCCTGGTCAACATGGTGAAACCCCATTTCTACTGAAAGTACAAAAAATCAGCCGGGCGTGACAGTGAGTGCCTGCAGTCCCAGCTACTCGGGAGGCTGAGGCAGGAGAATTGCTTAAAACCGGAAAACAGAAGTTGCCATGAGCGGGGATCATGCCACTGCACTCCAGCCTGGTGAGACAGAGACTCTGTCTCAAAAAAAAAAAAAAGGAAAAAAAAATTTAAACACAATTCATGATTCATGATATACAAAGGTGTGGGCATTTAAACTCACAGTATAGGAGAGTTCTACATACTACTATATTTAAAAATTGTGACACTGTGGGAAAGGGTTAACAATTTTTATGCTGCTTTACATGTACACTGAAATTGAACAATTAGAACAGTGAATGGTGGGAGCCATGATTCTCACTATTGAAATAGGAATTTATGGACAAGCAAAGGGAGGAGGCTAGAATGATCTGTATGTTAAAAGACTAAAGCTGGAGACATAAGTATTTATGTTTATATATAGCTTAATACAGATACAGAATGGTTACATATAGAAATACTTATGTATATATGCATGAATGAGTATACACATATATTTCTTCACTGTCTTAGGTGAAAGGCCTAGACAAAATCATGACCCACACCAATAATGGCCAGGTCTAGGGACCAGATCTTGATTTGTATTACCATTCTCCAATAAAAGGAACAAGGGCTCCTTGAAGTAATGTCTGATTCTAGGAATGAAGCAGGAAGTATACAAGTTGAGCCTGGAGGAACTTATAATACCATAAAGTAAGGGATTGCTAACTATCCCGTCACTTCTGCCACACACACACACACACACACACACACACTCTCTCTCTCTCTCTCTCTCTCTCACGTCAAAGAGGGTATGTCAAAGAAACCCAGGAACCTACTGAAAGAGCTTCCAATGGGCAAAACTGGAACAAATTGAACAACAAAATAAACTAGCTATTGATTACCAAAAGTATAAAATATAATAAATCTTCATAAGCCTATAATGTTGATATCAATAAATAATTGAATACTTGGTGGAGAATAGACAGCTCTTCTAGGCAGAAGAATTCCAAATACTTTATGTACTCACTCTGCTCTCAGGGAGGTGGAGCTGAAGTCCCACTCCTTAAGTTTGGGTTTCATGTAGTTACTTCCTAAAAGTACAGTATGGAAAGGATGGGCAATAACATTACTGTGGAGAAACTTGACAAACACTGCCTCAGCCAGGCGATCAAAGTCAACACCAAGTCATAAATCACATCGATATTATAGCACCTTGATATGATGTGAGGTAAATGGGACTCTACCTCTTTCTCCTACCAATAGTTTGCAACTCCAGTCTTATCATGAGAAAAGCATCAGACAAATTGCAACAGTGGGGTATCCTAGAAAATAGTTGACCATTACGCCTCAAAACTGTCAAGGTCATCAAAAACAAGCAAAGGCTGAAAAATTGTCACAGCTAAGAGGAGCTTAAGGGGATAGGACAACTAAATGCAGTGTGGTATCCTCCATGGGTGCCTGGAATAAATTTAAGGATATAAGTAAAAACCAGGGAAACTTAAATGTAGTTAGATTTTATTTATTGACTAGTTAATAATAATGTATCAATATAGATTCATTGATTATAATCAAATGATAAGGTTTGGATTTGTGTCCCTACCCAATCGCATATCAAATTGTAATCTCCAATTTTGGAAGGGGGGCCTGGCGGGAGGTGATTTGATCATGGGGGAGGTCTTCTCCCTTGCCCTTCTGGTGATAGTGAGTAAGTTCCCATGAGATCTGGTTGTTTAAAACTGTGTAGCACCTCCCCTTCTCTTTTTCCTCCTCCAGCCATGTAGGGCCTGCCTGCTTCCCCTTTGCCATCCAGCATGATTATAAGTTTCCTGAGAACTCCCCAGTCATGCTTCCTGTACAGCCTACAGAACCACGAACCAATTAAACCCCTTTTCTTTATAATTTACCTAATCTCAGGTAGTTCTTTATAGCAATACCAGAATGGACTAATTACACCAAGGTACCATACTAATGTATGAGGTTAATATGAGACAATGGGAGTGGGATATATGGGAACACCCAGTATTATTTCCTCAATTTTTCTGGATATCAAAACTGAAAAAAAGAGTCTATTAAATAAAACAAAATGTAGTGATGATTTGATTATAAATTCAGTGTAGTGATATATTGAGATATCTATAAAAACAGCAATAGGGAATTAGCTGTTGTTTCCATTGGTAACAAAGTCACAGGTACTCCTAACATTCTGGTGGTTTGTTGCCTGCATTAAAGATGCGCTAAATGCTAAATTTCAGTTAGAGGTTAGTGAAACTAAAAATGAAATTTTCTCATCCAAATTCCACATTCTGGAATTCTATTCATATACCCCTTTTATAAAGATTAAGGATCTCCTGCTCTATGGTAATATTAATTGCCTAATGTTATGAAAGTGAGACTCAGAGAGATGTATTAAGTTGTTCTAGCTTTCAAAGAGCACACATTCTATGACCAAGAATTCTAACTACATTTTGTTGGAAAGCTGTTGGCTACATTACTGCCTAACTTTGGGACTGATAGAGGGATGGATACACTTCATTTAGCAAAGCTACCTCCCTAGCCTTGCACAACTGCACCGTTTAGATTGCTGGACAAGTCTATAGTGTAAAGCTGGCCTTTACAAGTGATAATCAATTCGAAGCTGGCCTTTACAAGTGATGATCATCAAGTGATGATCAATTCGAACAGCAAGGGAACTTAGAGGGAAACTCCATTCCACAGAACCCTAGTGTCAAGGAACCTCCCTACTGGAAAATGACTCAACAGTTAGGGGGAAACCCTGGCTCAGATACAAAGAGAGCAAATTTAGGCCCATTTTTCCTTAAACACTCACCCTCAACCCTGAAAAAGATTTGGGAAAGAAGCGAAATAGGATGGTGGGGGGAAGAAAGAGAACAATCTTGCTAACAGCTAGTGTCAATTTAAAAAGAGAAGGAAAGGGCTTATATGAATACATGCTTATTTCATTCCTAAGGCAAATTTTCATAAATCCTTACGGAAAGAAAGATACATTTATCTGCTAATGTGGATTCTGCTTTTTGATTTCCAAATGTTATAGCTGCCACCACAACAGTTTGCCCAATTAAGTGGCAGGGAGGGAAGGGGGCCCAGGGGAGAGGAGGCAGTAGGAAGAGGTGTTAGAGGGAACATCTGTGCACAAGTGCACCATAAACATAACAAAATCCTGGGGTCACCCTGCTGTTTCTTTGAACACTTTCTCAGGTTGGCCCCACTTCTCCAGTCTTTTGGGAGATTCCCGTTCTGTTACGTAGGCGAGAAGGCGAAAGGTTCCAGCTTTCAAAATTCTGAGTGGTTTGGCTGTGTGCGTACGTGTGTGTGAGCGCGCGTGTGTGCTTGTGTGCCTGTGGGAGGGGGCCGATGAAGCGAGCTACGAAGGGCTTAGAAAGGTTCATTACCAATTTAAAGTGTTTTCTCAGTGCTTGAATGTTTATCCTAAAAGACAATTCCTGCTCTCAAATTCAGCCAAATGAACAATGCTGATGAGGAAGATGAAGAGGGTGGGAAACCCACACAGGCGAATGGAGCAGTCCATGCAGCAGGGGTAAAGGGGGAGTCTAGGAGGAAGGACGCTATGCAGAGAAAGCCCCCCTGGCTCTTCTCTCTTGGTCTACAATTCAGCAATGCTGTAGCTGTAAAAGCTGTAATAGAAAATCAACCCACAACCTCTTGGGGCAGCGATCCTCTGGCGTGGTTTTCAGGCGCCCTTCCCTGGGGCCGGGAGCAGCCCCGCTCCCCCCACGGCTGGCGCAGAATGTGGTGATCCGGCCCGGGGCGGGGATGACTTCATGCGGCCGGAGCTCGGCGGCGGGAGCGGTGGCTGCAGCTGGCAGGTGGGGCGCAAGCTGACTGAGCACTCGGCGGGCGCGGTGGGACTGCGGCCCGTGGCGGCGGGCGCGGGGACCTGCGCTGACTCGGTACAGGGAAGGTAAGCAGCCTGGCCCCTGTGCACCGTGGCCATGCTGTGTGGCTTTCCGCTTGGTTAATAATGGGGTTTGCTGCACAGAGGGAAGGGTGAGAGAACCCTGCTGAATTCTGCAGTGGAAAAAGGAGCAACGACTAGGATGGAAATGTTAGGCAGCCAAGTGCAGAGGTTGGAGGAGTGGTGTTACTGGGCAAACAAAGAAGGCGTTCTGCCTGTATACTCTTTTGAACGCGATCGACCATTTCAGTGCCAGATTCGCGTAGACAGTGAAGACTCAAAATGTAAAATAATTTGAGTTACTCTATTGCCTTTCGTGCCTTTTACCTTCGCTTGACTATTTTGAGGATTTGGAGCAGTAGGTCCCTGGCAGCAGCCTGGAGTAATCAGAAATCGTCCCTCTCTTCCTATAGTCCTTGGTCCTCCCCTTTCCAGTTATCAGAATGGGTCTGTGCCTCTCTCAATGTCAAAACACCTGCTTCAAGACTGAACCTTTAGAAGGAGACTCTATTTGGAGGGGAAACTTCTCTTATCTCCTGGAGTTCAGCTTGGGTTGAGCAGCACTTGACATCGCTTCTCCCTTCATTTGCCATTTTCTCTGTCAGTCATTTCATTGATCTTTTTCGGACATGCTGTGCCCATTCGCAGGCCAACTCGTCAGCTCTTTTCTACCACCTGGGTTCCATGACCGATTTTGTCAAGGTCCCAGAAAGGGCACTGCCTCACACGGGCTTTTTACTTGGTATTATCCCTGTATATTGTTACCTGTGTCCTTCCCCCAAATGCATGGAATGAAATATCCTGCTTGTAGCCCCAAACCAACATGGTATCCCATTAACTCCCTTCCCTGTAGTCACTGTGGCTACTTGAAAGCTAGAGAGGACAAATAGAATCTATTGAAGTGTGAGGGATGTTCCCTGTACATAGGCGTAGGTTGAAGTAAAAATGTGAATTGCAGTCCATCTAGTTTTTCCTGAAGCGATTTTAGTTCAGCTAGGTTTTGAAACAGCTAGCTGTTAAGGTTTGGGACTAATCCTTTCTAAAAAGCAGGGGAGTCTGTTTGCCCCTAGGATTCCTCAATAGCCTCAAAAGAGTTTCCAGTGAGGTTTCCCTATAGGCAGTCAGAAAGCCAGTGGAGCTGCCCAATATAAGCCTCTGGTTATTTGAGTATCCTCTAGGTTGTCTTGCCATTTACAGGTTCCTATCCCTCCTCCTAGGATTTTCCCCACAGACTCCTTGCTACTGAGACCAAGTACCTGTGCTTGTTGCCACCTAGAGATATACATTTGAATAATATGCTGTGAAATGCTTAAGATGGCTGTTATGGGGATTGCAAATGTGCCACTTCACCAACAGGGAACAGTTGCAATAAGCCAGATTGTGGGGTATCAGTGCGCCAATGTTCTATTTAAAGGGAGATCTGTTATCTTTAAACTTCAAATTAGACTGTCTGACTCAACAGCCATGCAATTTTTAGTAAATTAAATTAGAAGATCAATGAAAAAGAAGGGCAGAGTTTGTAGCTTAAAAATTTACCTCTCCTTACTTTCCTCTTTCAATATTATTTTTAAAGATACTCGTTATGGAAAATCATGTTAATTACATACCATTATTGCCTTTCTGATTATAAATTTCATTTTTACAAAATACACTTTAGAAAGATTTGAATTTGCTTCTTTGTCTCTATCTTCAGTATATGAGGCATAGGGAGTTGGGGGGGGGGCAAAGCCCACTACTGAGTGACTACTCCAGGAACTGTCCCTTGGCGTCTTAATAACAACCCTATGGCACCTTTTTGTTATTATTATGTGTCAAACAGGGTTTTAATTTGAAATGTTAAATTTTTGAGATTCTAGAATTTTTACTCAGTCACAACTACAAGAGGTAACAAAGAACAAGATCAACAACAAACCCTCTATTCTGCCACCTTTTTTCTAATATTAAAATTCTTAACAATATAAATTATTCTGAATGAATATTAATATAGAATAAGTAATAATGAATTTTAATATATTCTTTTAAATAAATTAACCTAAGATATGTAAAATACAGATTAGTAAAACTGATCTTAGAAATACAGTGCAATTTCTGTAATGTTGACAGTCATCTTTCTGTTGTGGAGCAAGTACATGAGAATATCCTAATGATGGTTAGAAATTGAAAGTGTCTATTATTTAATTTCTGAAGAATTTAAACTGTTTTGCAAGAAATAGGTTCAGGATTAGGAGACTGGTGCTACCTAAGATGGAATAATACTTGCCAGTGATTTTGCAGGTGAGTTGAACCCGCTGTTACAGACTGGAGTTGGAAAACTCTTATTGAGAAGAAAGAAAACAAGTTAGAAAATTTAATTTTCATTTCTGTGCAACTGAGGAAGATAATCAAACTGAAGGGATTTCTGAATTTGGACTTTGTTATGTTTAAACAAGTTTGAGGAAAGTTTCTAAATTCAGAACCTAAGCAGAAATACATGTATGATTCTATGTGTGAAACTGATTTATGACTTTATTTCCTTTCCTTAAAATATTTCTCAGGGAGAGGAAAAACTAATTGGCTTGCATTCAGGATTGAAAGAGGAATGAAAAATGGAAGGATATACATGACTAGATGCTAAATGATTAGATGTTAAATGAACTGCAGGCACTTTTATGTTTGACAACATAGAACTGAAGTCAATCTACTGCTTTCCAATCATGTAAAAATAAATTTTATTCTGCTAGGCAGAAATTTAGAGAGTAAAAATCTAGGAGTCAAAGTTGCCCTCTCACAACAAAATTATCTCTTTCTGGTGCTGCATTACTGCCATTAGTTACAACTGAAATAGCCTTAACATTTGAGGCCGAGGCAAGAGAACTGCTTGAGCCCAGGAGTTTGAGGCTGCAGTGAGCCATGATGGCACCACTATACTGCAAACAGGGCAACAGAATCAGACACTGTCTCAAATTAAAAAATAATTTTTTAAAAGTTAAGAAATTTTGAAATGGAAAAGGAAAAAGTATAGTAATAATAAGGCTCAATTAGAAATGTCATTTCTATTCAACCAGTGACTTCACTGAGAATGGGTAGAAAAAAGTACTATTTTCATAGTTGCCAGTGACCTTAATTACCAGATTTCTATACGTAATATTTCACCTTGTTTATTTTATCTTTATAAGTTCTCTTCTAAGTTTTTCTTTGATTAGATATTTGTGTTTAAAAGGTATTATTAATAAGTACTATGTATCAGGTACAGTGGTATCTTTGAATCTAATTTGTCTCTAATTCCCTTAAAGTATCCCATACCCAACCTAAACCAAATGGATCTTCTTTCCAATTTTTACCCCATGGTGGCATTCCTATACATCTTCATTTATTCTCTTAGCCCATCCTATTACATGTTGAAACCTTGCTTTCATCAGATACTGCCTCATTTATGAAGCCTTCTCCATACCCACCTTCCTTCCCCCATCACATGTGCTCCTCTCTTGTCTAAATTCCTGTAGCACATTCTGTTTTGGGTTATCCTTTCATGTGAGCATGGTTTGTCTGCTCTTCTTAAAAAAGTTCTTGAAAGCAGGGTCTGGGAATATGTTTTTATTACCTACAACTCTATGGTGCCTAGCTACACATATGTATAGTAGGTGTTCAGCAATTTGATTTTAGTGAAGATACGTGTTATTTTCCATACTTATAAATCTATCTACCTAGTCTTCTTCACCAGCCATGTTAGGCTCTAAGTATATGTGCAAATACTAATTTGTGTTTTTTTTAATCTTTATAATAATAGTAAATACACTTGCAGTACATTGAAATCATTATAATCTACAAAAGATTTTGTGAGTTTAATGTTCTTAAATGTATACTAAAAGCATGGTAAACTTAGCAAAACAAATCTTTAATGAGGACATTGCACCTGCTTTCGATATTCTTGCATTCTAAGCAGGGGAAGGCATCTTATACATATGAGCATTTATCTTGTTTCAAGCCACTCTGCTAGGGATTTTCATCTTTGGCATCTCATTTGATGTTTCTACTATATGCGAATTTTACACTGAGAAAACTGAGGCTCAGAGATGTCACCTGAATGGCAGAGATTTTTTTCCATATTACCACCTGCTCTTTGAAATGTAACAGAGTGAGGAAAAACATTGTAAAAACACAAAGTCAGAGCCATCAGAATAGTTTCAAATTGCCTTGCGATTAATCTTTCCAACGATTTTTAAACTTTTAGATTAACATCCCAAATTTTTAATAACTCAATAAACTCTATACATCTTCTCCACAAGTACATAAAGAAGCATAAACATATAATTTTGTATACAAATGCAATTGTTTGTGGATTCACTAAAGCTCTCTTTTAAGAATGGTTAAAGAACATCGATTTGTGCTCGCTTGGACAACATGTGTGTCCTTTATTATCTCTTACATTTCCAGTACTTGAGATGAGGTTTTCCTTCTATTGTTCTACCTGCTTTAAGACCTGAAATGAGAGCCCTTCAGTATCACTGACACAAAGACAGCTGATGGCTAGAAAGCAAGTGCTAGTGAAAATTGTAACTCAAAGAACCTTGATTCAGAGAAAAAGCACAGAAAGGGAGCTCTGAACGTTACACATTCCAAATGACTTATTTAGGGTTTTCCAATCAATGCTATTTTTACAAAAAAACAAAACAAAACAAAACAAAAAAAACGTTCTCAGACTTAAGAGTATTGCACTGCCACATATGCGGGAGAACATTGCCAGAAGTTGATTGGTGTAGTCCAGTTTGAAACAGATTCAGTTCTCTTAGGATGGACTTATATCTGCCTCATTATTAATATTTCTTTATGGTAATGCCATCTGCAGTAATATATTTCCTTTTGCCAAGTTAAGCAAAAAATGATAATTTATGTTCACCCCTTCTAGGGTCTAAAATAAGTGCCAGCCTAAAAGAGCTGCATATCATTTTAGACTCATAAAAATGCATTCAAATTCTCAGATGATACTTAAGGGGACTGGTACTAGCAAGCATGGTTCCTGCTGATGT